CTCCTTTAAGGAACCCTAGACAAACTTAAGCCTTCAGAATCTGTTAAGGAGCTCCTGTTAGGGAGCTCTGTGAAAAGACCCTAGTCAAGAAAGCCAAACCCTAAACCCTAAACCCTACAACCTAAACCCTAAGCCCCCAAACCTAAACCCTAAACCCTAAGCCCTACACCCTAAACCCTAAACCCTAAACCTTATATCCCCAAACCCTCAACCCTAAACCCTACACCCTAAACCCTGAACCCTAAACCCTAAACCCTACACCCTACACCCTACACCCCACACCCTAAACCCTAAACCCTCAAGCCAATCCCCAAACCCTCAACCCTAAACCCTCTAAGGCCTCCTCAGCGGCAGCGCTGAGCAGCTTGTCTCGCGGCCTTAGTCGGAAGGAACTTGGCTGCATGAACCATCCCGGATCCATGTTCCAACAGCTGATGGGAGGTAGCGTTTTGGGCTTTAGGGTGTAGGGTTTAGGGTTTAGGGTTTCGGGATGACGATATTGACCCTCTCGGTAAGGTAGATCCCTTTTTAGAGAGGCAGAAGCAGAGTTCAGAAGGGTCCCCTTTAAGGGGTCTCCCGAATACTACCTAGGGGTTGAAAGCTAACATCTCAAGCGCACTGCCCCAACGCTAAGCACCCCAAAACCCTCGAACCCCAAACCAAAACCCCAACACCCTAAACCCTAAACCCCTAAAGAACTGAACCCTAAACCCTAAACCCCCAAAAAACAGCACCCCAAGACACGGCAACGCTAACCCCAATTCCTGCCCAGCAACCTGCATCCTGAAAAGCTGAGCCCACTCCTTCCGCAAGACAAGCCGGAACACTCGACGCCAAAAGGCCCGAAACCCCAACAAAATCGCCAGAAGCTTGAAAAGTATGGAACCCTACAAGGAACGCTTATTGTCCAATGATAGGGGCCTTATAGTCGGAGTTACATAGGGACTTGTTGAGGATGAGAGTACACATCATTCCGACGTCTAGATTTACCCTAAACCCTATAAACCCTATAAGCCCGAAACACTAAACCCCGAAAGCCCCAAAAAGGTCCCCCACCACTCAGAATCGACCTGCGTCTCCAGCATGAAAGCGCCGGCATCCCAGCCCTCACACAGTGCTTGGTTTAGGGAACTTGTGACGGAGTCTCCGAAAACAAGGGGCACCTTATAGTGGGATCCTTATAATAATCCTACAATTTAGGGTGCTATATTAGGGTCCCCTATTTTCGGAAACCCGCAGAATGACGTAAACCATCGTAAACCTTAAAGCCCCGAACCCCTATACCCCAAACGCTTTCTAGTATCCTTGGCCGCATCATGGGTTCTGTTGCTCAGACTTCCCGTGTCACTGTGGTGGTGGCAGGAGGGATGGGGTCAGCTCCACGAAGTCACATGCGCTGGTCTTGCTGCTGTTCTATCTCCTTTTGCTGCATGTTCAGCTATCATTGCTCTTGCTGTACTTATTGAAAACTTAGCAGCGAGAACCACTAGCCTGTGAACACGGCCTTGTATTGAATCTGTTCTATGATCGTCTCTAACATGATCATCCTCATCTCCATGACAAGCGCTGCTCCCCTTGATATCATCACCAACGTGATCCCTAAACCCTTTAACCCCTGAAGCCTAAACCCTGAACTAAACTCTACACCTTAAACCCCTAAACCTCACACTAGACCCTGAACCGTAAGCCTACACCCTAAAATCCCATTCCTATGCCGAAAGAGCCTTTCCCTCGAGGAACTCATCCAACGTGCAGTTCTGGCTGTCCACCAAGCGCCACTGCTCGCCTTCAAGAAAGGTTCAGGGTCTAGGCCGGTGGATTTAGGGTTTAGGGTTTAGGGTGAGGGTAACAGGTTTGTTTAGGGTTGCAATTCTTCAAGGCTTGGGCTTAGCGTAGAAATTCTTCCGCTGGCCAGGCCACGTAAAATCCACTTGCTGGTATTCCGAGCTCTCCGCCAACCAAAGACAGGCTAGTGCAACTAAACTTTCATCCTGCTCATGCTCACGGCGGACTAAATACGATTAGGGACACCTGCTAAACTGCCCTGAATACACTGCCAGGGGCGTCTGAGTTACGACCAATTGGCGTCCCAGACAGACGTGCCCGTCTACAAAACGATTACGGAAGGCACCCTCAGGCCGAAAGTTTCGAGCTACCGGCCGTTATATCGTGCTAAAGACTCTTGAGGAATAGCGGAGTGCTGAAAGGGACGAACTCCCTACACCGGCTGGCGGAAAAAACTACTACGCCGTCGTAAAATTAGAATTCTTACTCATCACGGAGGAGGCCCAAAGGCTCACTTGTGGCAGGAGTCTAGGGGGAAGAGGGTGGCGGCATGGGTCGACTTCGTTGTTGACGCTAGGGGGTCGAACTATCGGCCCGGCGCAGTAGCCATAAAGTACAAAACGTATGTACATACACCCCTAAACCCTAAACCCCTAAACCCCTAAACCCTAAACCCAATAAGGCGGTGCCCCGACCCTCAGCCAGCCCAACCCTCAAACGCGAGCCCAAAAAGTCTAAATCACGTACAGAGAAAAAATGTAAACGGTAGCCCTCAACAGCAACGCCTAACAGAAACCCTTCATAGTAATTCTTCACGGAAGCCGCCCAAAAGTCTCCGGAAACTTTGACGCAGCAGTGACTGAGCTCTTTTTTAAACCACCCAAAACCCTCAAAAAGCAACACGACACCCATTCAAAACCCCAGAGCAAGCCTTAACCGCCCTAACCATTTCAAAATCGTCTTAAAAAAACACCACAATCCTAAACCTTAAGCCCTAAACCCCAAACCAAAGAAACAACAACTCAAGCCCGGACCTTTGGAGCGATGCCACAGCCGTGAGCGATCCACGGGCTTCGACAGCTTCTCCGCCAACATGGACAGCGTCTGAGCGGGGCTGGAAGAACGGCCCTCCTGGTCTCCGGGTGTATGAGGGTTCAGTACAGGGTTTAGGGCTTGGGGCTTTTTCGAGGGCTTGAATTCTAGATTTTCAGGTTAGTATAAGGTTTAAGGTTTCGTGGGGTTTCTGAGCACGGTGAAAAGAGCGCCTCATAATCTCGTCATAATCTCGTAATAGAGACGCCATATTAATTTCATGTTACGCGCTCCTTTGGAGCTTACTGTACGGGCTTGGTCCAGGAGCCGTAGCAATTGGAATAGGGTTTCCTTTCGGGCTCTTTTCTTCCGCATTTCTGCAAAGGTCACTAACTAGTAGGATGAAATAGAATCTCAGAGTTCATAGGAGGTGTGTCTTACGGTCTGCAGAAGGCTTGCTTGAAGGCTGTGTTAGGGTCTTCAAAAAAAGTCTCATATGAGAGGGTTCATAAGGTCTATAGGGGTTGTCTGTAGGGTTCTCTATGGGGCGCTTAGAAGACTGTGTGGGTTAGGGATTAAGGTGTAAGGTTTAAGTTGTTCTAACGGCTTGCAGGGCTGTGTATGGTTGTGCTTTTTTAAAACGACTTCTGAGATTGCTAGGTCTGTCAACTAGATTGGCATCTTGTTGATGTGCAGCTTGATGATGCTGACAAGCTCAAGAGATGTAGTAAGTCGATTACAAGTAAGGCCATAGAAAGACCACCACCATTCCTCGAATCTCTTCAATGAGCTTTCTGCCCGCCAGGCCTAGGACCTTCTCCGGGGTCTTAAGCTCGCAAAACAATCTTTGAACTTTTCGGTGACCCATAAAAACCTAAACATGGAGCCTTCAATCCTCCCTAGGACTGCAGTGGCTTTGGGGATCATGGCTCTGCCGAAACCGGTGGTGACAACATGCCAGGACATGGCCGAATCTTGCAAGGAGCTGTGCCCAACCCGACCACTCCCCATAATCCTGGACGGCTAGAGGCCCCACATCCAGATAAGATTGAAAAGGTCTCGAAGATTGCGGGCCCTATCGCAGTGCATCTTGAACCCCTCTTGCCTGATCCAGGGTGGATTGCTTGGAAATGAAAAATCTCCGGCCTGGAGGCGCAGGCTTGCAGGGATATAAGGTTTTCGATTTCGTGTTTAAGGTGGCGGTCAAGATTCAAAGGCTTTGGGCTGAGGGCCTAAGAGTTACAGCATTCTCGTCTTGTGTGGATTGAAGGAGATCTCCTTGAGGTAGCAGGCTGTTTACAGTGATAAGAAAGCAGAACGTACAGTGGTGATATTGATGTCGATGAATACTGTGCTGATGAAAGTGATAGTGAGGATCACTTTGTTAGGAGACAAAACTTGTTCTTGTCCACACTATCGGCTTCATCTCGTCTCGTAGGCAGTTGCTCTGGTAGCCCGCGTCCTCCCCAACACCCGAAAGAACAGGGCCCAGCTGCCCTCTACCCTGAACCCCACAAAACCTCAAACCCTATTCAAAACCCTCATGCGTAAACCCCCCAATGCACCCCATAGAATTGTTCAACCCTCACACCGACACAAAGCCTGCAGTCCCGACACGGAATCTGCCTCCCACATACAGACCCCTAGCCTTCACAATAACACCAAAAACGACGCCGTTTTTGCCAGCGGCCAATCATAATATCGTGAACCACAGAAAGTTGGAACATGACATCAGGACGATTAGTGCTGGGATTCCCTATGCAGTTAAGGGCGCGAGGATACTCGTGCTCCAACCCTTTCGGTTTCTACTCTAAGGCCTCAACCTGAAAGAAAGGGAAATGTGGGTACCACTGGGAGACAACTCTCGTTTCAACACTGGCACCTCTACACTCGTGAGACTCGAGGCACGCAAGGGCACAGCTTCTGCTGGCTTCTGCTAGATTTGGGCAACAGCGTTTCGGAGACTCGGGGCGCGGGCTTCAACATGCCACCCGCGTGAAGATTGTTCCATCGCACATTGATCGAATTGACAGCAGAACTCACAGCACGGCAAGAGATTATAATCAACGCGGTCAAGCGGACAAACAGCGATCATTTCACAGCTGTTGCTGGCTTCAGCAACAGCAGCTGCTTGTCGCCCGGAAAGCAGACCGCTGTCTGCTACAGGGATCAACGGATTAGCTTCAGAAACCAGAAGCAGCTCTAAACGAATCTGAAAGGCCGCGGCCCGAATCATACAAATAGTCATCCCAGGTGTCCTGGGCTGCCCAGGACCAGGGGTCGGGGTCCTGGGCTGCCCAGGACCAGGGGTCGGGGTCCTGGGCTGCCCAGGACCAGGGGTTTTGGGCTTCGGGTTCACTTGCTTTCACTTGCTTTCCATGTCGAGGTTTCGTCAACTTCGTTGCGACAGCCTTCGCTGCAGGCTGCGACGACTCGGCGTGCTCAGATCTGCTGCCGAAGGTCAGTGTCTCCTCGTCGTTGTCCTTGGAAGCCGGCCGCCGCTTGATATCCCGAAGCAGCCTTTCGGCCGGCTCAATCTTCTGCCAATCGGCATCGGCGTGGGCTTTCTCCCGCTCGACCAGCCGTCTCAATCCAATCTCTGTGGCAACCGCAGTGTTGAACATCGGCCGACCACGGTGTTGTGCTATTCCCTCTCTGCTGCTAATTGACCAGCCTGAAAGGCCATCATCGCCTTTGTCAAACCAGCGCTTGAACTTTGCATCGCGCAAGTATGCGCTGTGCGAACGTGCAATACAAGGCCTTAGATCGACAGCAAACATGCAAAGCTTTCTGCAAGAGCAAGCTCCCATCATGTATCGACTCTTATGCATGGTTGGATTTCTCGGAATACTTATCTGGGACGCAGCAAACTCTGCAACCCTGCTAGCTCTGGTAAGACTGGCAGCCTTGACAGCTGAGAACGATATCAAACTTGCGCTAACCCATGGTAATAAGTGCGAAAACACGCTAACACTGTTTAAGTGACTGTGACTACTCTGAAGACTGTCGACGATGATTTCGGGCACCATGCATCGACGAAGCAGCTAGAATCAATACAGCAAGAAAGGGAGTTGCAACTCTGCGATAATTAGTAGAGGATAGCTGAAACAGCCCGGCATGCTATATATCAAACTATGACATCTGAATCTACGGGACCAACACAGACAATGTTGAGCCCGAATTGGTCGCTGTGGTAGTTAACACACCTCACGAGCGTTTTGACATGTATGCTTAGGATGGATGGCATTCATGATGCATACATTTACATACGTATATGAGACTTCTGGTACACGCGTGACAAAAACCATCAACCTGCCAGAAACAGGCCCTAAACCAATGCCCTCAAACCTAATCCCTTGGCCCTCAAGCCTGATCCGTAAACCCGAAGCCCTAAAGACACAACCCAATGACGAGGTGCACTTTGATGCACTCGTCCAGTGTCCAGCTCTGCAAGGCCCTGAATGCAAGTAGTCTGCGGTTGTTCCGGGAGCGGATGCCAAGGTCATCTGCAGCCTCTCTCACAGTCTAGGGCTTAGGGTTTAGCTTAGGGAAGGTCTAGGGTTTAGGGGTTTAGGGCCTAGGTCCCTCGCGAAACGACAGGAGGGAATGCACTTGGAGTTTGATTAACATGTGCTGGCCGTCTAAATGAACAGAGCTGCATCTTTGGGAAGCTTGACTTGCAATGGTTCCATTTCACCAGGTGTTACTCGACCACGAAACAGCTGCTCAACGAGCTTGAAGATGCTCTCCTGGGAGTTGCCATGATCATCACCGAAGGCGAGCGATGCATTGACATGCCCGTGTGTTTGTCGTAGAGCTAAGATGGGAATGTCCACCAAAAAACCGTCGCTCACATAAACACAAGCCCTCAAGAGACGAGGCAGCTCGTCACGAATCCAGGCTGCAGTTTCGAGTACTGCTGGAGGCAAGGCTTGCAATTGCATTCTCAACGATTGGTTTTCTTGTTTCAACTTTATGTTCTCCAGTCGTAGCTGTTGGACTTCTTGATCTTGCAAGGGATTCACACTTCCACGATTCTTGTCCACGCCGGCTGCGGCTTGTCGATCTTCACTCGTCTCGCCATCCCGCAAAAAGCCAACGAGATCTGGATTTTGCTCGGTAAGTCGACGCCAGCACGCCTCGCAGTAAATCTTGCCTTCATCGCCCCCCGAGAGCAGACAGATCAGTCGCAAATGAGGATTGCCCGTGCATTCCTCTGATTGCGCGCAGTCCGGGTGACCCCATCTCTCCATCATTTGCATCATGTCATGGACCTTCACTGCACCCGCCGCAAAAACACACAGAGGAGCAAGGAACGAAAACAGAGTCTAAGAAAAGCATAACTTAAGACGTCAGCAACCCTTACACCACACTAAAAGAACTTCTGCTGCAAGGCGGTTTCGACTTTGAGGCTTGGGGGCTTAGAGTTCGCATTTAAGTGTTTGGCCTCTAAGTCCTATCAAGTGCTCTCAGTACAGGGTCATGTGGCAAGCTAAAGCCTACAGCGCCCTTGAATACAGCAATGGCACGTTGCCCAAGCCGAGTCACAGTTGCAGCACACGCTGCTTCGAACCACCAAGCTTCAGATGCGCGCACAAGGCATGAACGACTAGGAAGGATACGATTTATGATCTTGGTTTACAGCTTAGGGTTTGGGGATCTACCTGAAGCAAGCTTTCGGGCTTGGTGCGAAAATTGGTCGAAGATACTAACCCCATAAATCCCAAACCCCAAGGCCTCTTAAGAACCCGTATAGAACCTTTTGAAGAAACCTTAAACTGTATTTTCAAGGACCTGAAACTGGAACCCGAAGCTGGAAACTGCAAATTCCCAGGCGCCAAGCTCGAAGCTGAGACCACAGAAGGCTCGCTAAGCAACTAAGGCATTAAGGAATTTCTTTTGGAGTTTAGGATTAGGGTTTCGGGTTGAAGGTTTATGGAGTCAGGGACGGTTAGGGGTTCGGGGTAAGGCTTTAAGGGGAGTTATTGTGGGCTTAAAATAAGATACAACAATGGTGTTAAGGAGCTTCAAATTGGAACGGTTTGCTATAGGGCTGCTGTAGTGCTCTGTAAGGGTTTTATGGGCTGCGAACGTTTTGATCTAGTTGCGATGATATTAGGAATAACAGTAAGAAGAAGATAGCATATGCTATGATGTACCTCCCTATCATGGTCGCTTAAGTCAGGACATGGAACATATACCAGAAGTCATACACAACATGTCAACACCTTTCCTCAGTCCAAAACCGTCAGTTACATAATCAGACGCCCTGTGCGCTTAAACGAGATATGAACCCTAAATCCTTAAACCATAAACCGAACATCTCGATAGCCTTCTTTGCGGCTAGGGCCCGAGAACAACGAAAAAGAACAGAAGCCCAGAAAAAGTACTGAAACCCTAGGTATATGCAGAATGCATCTAAATCCTGAGGCGCTACCTGTAAGGCAACTCGCAACTCTAACCCGGGCTCATAGAGTGCATGCGAGACCCTTTGAACCCTTGCAACTACAATCATAAATCCTGAACCTTTAAACCCTACCAAGCACTCGAAGAACCCTTACAGGATTGTTAAGGAGCCCGTAAAGGGACCCTTAAAGAAACCCAACAAGAATGTGGTGCGTGCGAGAAGCTGAACTGTGGCAGTGGAGTTCCGTCTGGTCCGGCCACGACCTGTCGCGCAGTTTTTGGCGTCTGGCACAAGTTGGAGTTCAGGAGCGGATTTGGGTTCAGGAGCTAAGGGTTCAAAATTTGAGATGTAGGGGTCAAAGCAAGGGATTTGAGGACTAGGGAAGAGAGGTCCAAATGGAGTCTTCCTGAAATGGATGCAGGGTCGGGACGTGGACTTTGGGTTCGGAGTGAGGATCGAAGGTGTAGGGTCTAGGACGTACGATTCGGGCTCTGGGAATTCGGTATTAGGGCTGACGTATTCTTGTTTATCTACGGCTTACAGTACGTTCATTTGGAGCACCTCTCGGAGCTCAACGCTTGTATGGACGTGCAAACCGAATAGCAGCCTCAAGAATTGCGATCCTCCTTCGATGACATCTATGTCGCTACAAGGTTTGAGACTTTCACCGAAGAAAAGACATAGTCTTTTGCGTACTTCCTCCCTCACGGCACGGAAGTCTGCAATCCTGAACACCTGCTCCCGAAAGCTCTAGAGACCCGAGAAACTGAAACGCTAGGGTTCTGGCCTTCTTTGAAAGGGTCCAACTAACAGAATAGTCTGTGCATTTGGCTGCTTGAAAGCACGGACCCTGAGCCTTAATCTACACACCACAACCCAAGCCCAAACCCCCTGCAACCCTCAAAACCCTGAAACCCTCCTAAACCCCCTAAACCCTGAACCTTGAGCCCCAAAGCCCTTCGCCCTTAAAACCCTCATGACTAACGGGTCTAACTCCATGCAAGAGCCGCCACGAGGAGAAGAGCAGGGTAGAGCTCCACCTGCACACTTTGGGCTTCAACCCTTGTAAGCCTTAAACCCTAAAACCTAAACCCTATCACCTGAGGTTAGGGGCTTAAGACGGGTACTCGCCGAATCAGACACTCAGGATCTCTCCAAGTTTGCAAACTACTGTTGGTGAGATAAATCCTGCATTACGTTAAGGACCCTGAACTATGGGAAGTATGGTATATGCCTTAGTATGGGTAGTGCAGGATTTAAATCATCAACCGTATTTCTGCATGCTGGGGATGCTGGTGCGGGTCTTGACCGTCTTGCGACCCACGATCGAAACTGTGCGTTACAAGGCTTCCGTAATGTGTCCATAACGGTTCTTGCATAGAGTTTGGGGCTTTTCGGTTCTTGGGGCATAGTAGATGTACAGATGTTAAGTGCTGGGCTGTTTGGCGATTCATGGCTTAAAACTCTCTGGTGCTGGCAGCACACCCTGAAACATCTTAAGCAAACCCGGGCAAGCCCGAACATAAAGCCTACATAAGCGCCATACAAACCCTACATGAAAACCTTTCATCAGCCCTGTATAAGACCTTATAAGTAAGCCCCATCTTAGACCCTACAGTGACCCCAATATCGACAACAGCCTTACAAGCCACTAAACCCTAAAGCCCTAATTGCACAAGGCTTCTCTTCTGCCCTAAACCCTTAACCCCAAAACCCCCCTGAACCCCAAAGAGCTGGTCCCAGTTTGCAGAGGGCCTTCATCTGGTGATCTCGGCCCATGCAGATGACCTGCGGAGCATAAATGCGCGGGCTCTACAGGGGTCCTGTAACAGCTCCCGACAAAGGTTCCTTTTAGGTCTGCACAATCAGGGTTCTATAGAGGCTTACGAGCAAAGGCTTTAGCTTATTCCAGGTTTAGGGCTTGGGGCTTGCGGTTTAGATAGGTTTAGCTTTAGGTTGTAATGTTGAGTGCAAAAAATCAACCAACAGAGTCCCAAACCCCACACCCAAAGGAAACCCTTTCTTGGAGGTGCGAATCTTTTCCACACACGCTTTCCTGGCTGCTCTTGCTGACTCCAGCCTGGAACCCAAGCCCCCAAACCCCCGAAAGAAGCACTAAACCTCTATAGGACCCCTGCACTCGTAAAGGGAACCTTACCTTAACGGAACCCATAAAGGAACCTCTAAACGAACCGCTACCAGCGTTCACTCCGCTTGGCGCCTTCCTGGGGAGCGCCGGCCCTCCTCCGTACCTGCGACGCAGGGGCTTACAAGAGTTCTTTGGAGATTCCTTCAAGGGCTCCTTCAAGGGCTCTTGAAGGGTTCTTGTGGGGTGTTACAAGGGTTTAGGATTTAGGGCTTGGGAGTTTGGACTCACGATCTGTGGCTTTCTAAAGTTGAGAGTTTATTTACTGTGTTACAAGGGTTTCTGCAATGTTTGGAATCTAGGATTTAGGGTGCAGCCATCACAAGGGTTCTTATCGGGTTTGGGGTCCAGGCTTGACAACGGTTCTTAAATCTTTTTGGTCTTGTACAAGGGGGAATGCCGAGTTTGTGGTCAATGTATGTAAGGCTGCTCCAGGGATGTATGAGGCTTTCTCAAGCTCTTTCGGGTATAGGCTTTTGCTGCGGAGCTTGCTTTGAGGCTAGCATAAATGGGATTGATATAGTCAAAAAAGGGCTTTCTTTATAATGTTAACTTGAACTGGCTTCCCTAGTTTGAACCAGGTACCACGTAAGGACCCAGGGTACTCTAAAAAGAGAAGACACAGTTGGTGACTAAGCCCGCGAAGCTATAGCTATTGTTGCGTTCTAACTTGCCTTGGCCTCAAGTCCTAATTATACACCCTAAACCCTGAACCCCTACAGCCTCAACCCTCTCTGTAGTTTGTAAAGCTCTGTGCTCAGGGTTTCGGCCTTCACACAGCCAAAGACGTCTTCAAAGGGTTGAGGGGTTGGCTTCCCAACATCGACTAGAGACCCACGTCGTAAGGCATAAATTGGGTTTAGGGATCAAAGTTTAAAGGGGATTACCACAAAGATTGACGGCGTACGCAGGTTTTTTGGGTCTGGGGTTTAGGGCTTCTGGGAAGCCGAGCGAGTATACGAAGAGACAGGATCCCATAAACAGGATTTTAAAAGCACTCCATGGGATCCCAAAAGGGTTCTATGGGGTTCCATAGCTGTTTACGGGTTCTATAGGGTCTCATAGTGGCGGCAACAAATTCATACCCACAACAGGCCCTGCCCGTCACTGAGTGTTTTGTGATGAAAAGCTGGGAACATCAAACTGAATCAACGCCTCACACCAAACCCTAAAAGCACCTTGCAGAAACTTTAGGACCTTTGTCGCCGCTCATAAAAGAACCCCGCAAGCAAACCTCAATCAACCCTTTGCGGAACCTTTGACAGGGCCATTACAGCCCCTACTTCAGAACCCTGCTAGCAGCCCTCAATTCTCCTAAACCTCAAACACCCTAAACCTTCAAGTCTCCTAAACCTTAAACCCCGACACTTAAATCCTACAAACCCCAAGCCCTTAACCTTAAAGCCCTGAGCCCTAAACCCTAAACCCTCTTTTTCAAAACAGCACCCCGAGGTCCCTGCCATTCCACTAACCGGAGCCACATCTCCTCCGGGATGAGCTCCTTAGCCATGGTTTAAGGTTTTTTGAGGGCTTGTTTTAGGGCTGAGAGTTGAGAGTTTAGGGTTTAGGGTTTGGGGGTTTAGGGGTTATGCGATGGTTGAGGGTTTTAGTATAGGGCTTTAGAAGGTGTTTGTAGGGCTTTATAGGGTATGAGGGTTCCAAAAAATATCTGTAAGAACATGAGGTAGGGGGTTAAGGGTTTAGAGTCTAGA